TAACTCAATGTAACACTAGTGGCACTTACATTAATAATGGATGAGTATCTTTCTCTTGGGAGACATTTTAGGGCTTGGGACATCCTCGTCAGGCTCTATGTCACTGTTCTGCAGCAAAGAGAAAACAAAAAGACTAAGTTGAGTAGAAATCATATCAGCTTCTTTAGCAGTTATTTTCTGGTCTCACTATCAACACACAAAGCATAACTATCAATACATTGTCCTAGATGAGCAACAGCTCACTTGTCTACAGTACATAGCTTTAACAAACTGCAGTTCCCATGCACCCTTGCTTTATTGAAGTCAAAGCTAGGCATCTGGTCATTACAATAATTCTACAAGGGTAGTTTTCATAAACAAAACTAAATAATATAGAATGAAAAATCCCTTCTCTGTCTGTGGCATGATGATGATGATGATGCAGTTCTCAAAATCCTATCCAGAACACCACTTGTGTACCAACTTATCTTTGGCATACGGACGGAGGGAGTCCTTGGTCTGTTTTTAGTATTGTCAGTATAACATGTGGTGTATGTTTAAAATGTGAGTTGTATCTATCCATCTATGTGTGATAAAGTAGCATAGGTGATTAATTGGGATGTTCCAAATTGAATATAAATGGAGTCCGTGAGAGTATACAGTGCATTTGGAAAGTATTCAGACCCCTTCACTTTTTCCACATTTTGTTACGTTACAGCCTTATTCTAAAATGTTGTTTCCCCCCCCCCCCCCCCCCCTTCATCAATCTACACACAATACCCCATAATGACAAAGCAAAAAAGGTTATACATTTTTGCAAATGTATAAAATAAAAAAATAAAAAACTGAAATCACATTTAACTAATTTCAGGAAACTAGGCGTATGTCGCACGTCACTACTTCACAGGAGAGGCATTTGACGGTAAATCAAAATGCATTTTTTGGCAGAAATAACTTCTGGAACATAGGAACTTTCATGTGCCTTAATAACAAACTTGTATGCCATCTGTAAATACAAATAAAATGGTTAAATTCCGAGCCTAGTTGGTTTAGCCACAGAAAAAGACAGGAACCTTCCCGCTAGCCATGATTGGCTGAGATAATGGATGGACTGGACATGCCGAGAGAGGAGTTCGGATTGGTCTGCCATGTAGCACGCTTCTGTCTATAACATCAGCTGGTAAGTATGTTTAGGTAATCCTTTCTAACACATGTTTTTAAAAGATCTCACGTAGTAAAACTGCATAAGTGTTGCTCTCCACTTTCTGGAAGACCGAGTTTTTAAAATCAGTGGAATGCCCGGTAGAGTTAGAGTATGATAGCTAAGGAGATGGAGAACATTCTGCCGTTTGATTGCAAATATGCAGAGGGAGTCGAAAAGAGAACACACAGAAGGCTGTTGTATAAAACACCTGTCTCCGGATTACATCTTCAAACAAAGGGCAACCATTGCATCCGTGACAGAGAGGGAGAAGTCTCCATCCATGTATACGGGTAAGAGAGTCTAGCTAGCTACATTTTCAGATATGTTTCTAATTTTGTCAGAAAGTCGTTTTCATTTCAAATTAAAGCGTACTGTTAGCTAGCTAGCTAACGTTAGCTGGCTGGCTCGCTAGCTAACGTTACGTGTATGATCTGTGTAGTAATATTATTCGTATCTCAGAGCTATTTGCATTGCTAGTTATAGCCTAATGTTAGCTAGCTAGCTAGCTAACGTTGAACCTGGTTGGTTAGCTACCTGCAGATTCATGCAGGGTAGTAACGTTATGAGTTGGGATTATGGTTCATTGTTTGGCTAGCCAGCTAGCTACATGTCTAAACAAAGGACTCCATTATGCAACTAACAATTTCACTGTACTGTTTACACCTTCTGTATCCTGTGCATGTGACAAATAAACGTTGATTTTATTTGATATAGTATGTGTTTACCAGAGATGGTAATATGAAGAACATGACCTGCACCAAAGTCAAATTAGGATAAAACGTTAGGCCAACGAGACAGACAGTGTCAAGTTCTAAAATTCTCTGGTAGAATGCCCTGCTTTTATTTAGTCATACTCACAACCGTAAGCTATTTTCTGTAATTGGCTCGACCATTAACTTGTAAATAATGATCTTGTTGTGAGTTTATTTTCCTGTAATAATGAATACAAATGTGCTAAAGTGAAAACGTTGTCAGCTATATGATATGGTCATTATTTGAACTGGATAGCCAGCTAACTTGACATTAGCTAGCTAGCTAACAAGCTAGAAACGAACCAAAACATTATTTAGAAAGTTGCATTTAGTTGCCTGGTTTGCTAGATTGACATATACTAAATTCATTTTTAAACGGGTGGGTTTATTGGTGTTAAAATACACCAGTTATGCTATTTCGGACCACCAGGCTGCTAATGTCATGCACCCTGTAGTTTTTGTGTTTATACTTTTTCATTACGACAAGTTTGATATCGGACGACAATAGAATGTTTATGATGTCAATGTGACAACTGTCGATAGACGTAGTATAAACCAGCCTTTAGTCTTGAAATCTTTGTTTGTTTAGTACATGGCCTCACGTGAATCCTTAAAGAGATGGGTGGGGCTAAGGCTTAAGAGGGTGTGAACTATAATTAATTCATCTTTCCCTCAATCCTGACTAGTCTCCCAGTCCCTGCCACTGAAAAACATCCCCACAGCATGATGCTGCCACCACCATGCTTCACCGTAGGGATGGTATTGGCCAGGTGATGAGCGGTGCCTGGTTTCTTCCAGACGTGACGCTGGGCATTCAGGCCAAAGAATTCAATCTTGGTTTTATCAGACCAGAGAATCTTGTTTCTCATGGTCTGAGAGTCCTTTAGGTGCCTTTTGGCAAACTCCAAGCGGGCTGTCATGTGCCTTTTGCTGAAGAGTGGCTTCTGTCTGGCCACTCTACCATAAAGGCCTGATCGGTGGAGTGCTGCAGAGATGGTTGTCCTTCTGGAAGGTTCTCCCATCTCCACAGAGGAACTCTGGAGCTCTGTCAGAGTGTCCATCGGGTTCTTGGTCACCTCTCTGACCAAGGCCCTTCACCCAGATTGGTCAGTTTGGCCGGGCGGCCAGCTCTGGGAAGAGTCTTGGTGGTTACAAACTTCTTCCATTTAAGAATGATGGAGGCCACTGTGTTCTTGGGGACCTTCAATGCTGCAGAAATGTTTTGGTACCCTTCCCCAGATCTGTGCCTCGACACAATCCTGTCTCGGAGCTCTATGGACAACTCCTTCGACCGCTTGGTTTTTGCTCTGACATGCACTGTCAACTGTGGGACCTTATATAGACAGGTGTGTGCCTTTCCAAATCATGCTCAATCAATTGAATTACCACAGGTAGACTCCAATCAAGTTGTAGAAACATCTCAAGGATGATCAATGGAAACAGGATGCACCTGCGATCAATTTCGAGTCTCATAGCAAAGGGTCTGAATACTTATGTAAATAAGGTATTTTTTTACTTATTTTTTATTTGCCAAAAATTCTAAAAACCTGTTTTTGCTTTGTCATAATGGGATATTATGTGTAGATTGAGGGGAAAAATTAATTTTTGGGACTCACCTTGTTATGCTGTGCTCACTTGAACAGGAAGGTGGTGCGACGGTCCTTCTTGTGGGTAAATTTAGTCATCAAACTTTGTCATCAAAGTCTGGCATTCCCTGGATTTATGGTTATTTCAAGACAACTAGGAACTCTGAAAAAAACAAGGTTGAATGATGACGTCAGTGATCTTCAGGTCGGAGCTCTAGAAAGAGGTCCGAGTTCCGGATTAGGAATTCCGAGTTGGATGACTGTTCAAAATGTATTTTCCCAGTCTGCGCTCGTTTTTTTCAGAGTTCCCAGTTGCCTTGAACTCACTGAAGTCTGAGATTTCCCTGTTGTTTTGAACGCGGCAGAAGTCATGCTGGATTGACAGCATGGCCAATGTATTCAATATTTCTGGCCCATGGTGTTGCATGCAAATGTTTATTATTTTAAGCTCGGAAAAGAGACCCTTAAACCCAGACATGGACCGCACACACACTCTACTGAATAGCAGGCTAATGATTGCTTTGCAACGCTTGCAGTTATCCACTGATTCCTTCCAAACCACTCATTGTTGAATTTGTGATTTCCAACTTGTTGTGTAATGTTTATGTCCAATGACCGATGAGCACCGATACGTTTTATCTATAATTTCTCTTCATATGACAAGGATTGAAAATGATGATGACTGCTTGTCTAGCTTGCTTGCTAAGATTTTGAAAGTAGGATGTTGACATGATCAGTCCAATCAAAGCTACGGTAGATATAATGTGATTTGATGTCATTTTATCTGTGGCCAATGGCCTTGAGCCTTCTTGGATGGGCACTTCTAATGTAACTCTATGGCAGCACCCCAGGGGCTTGGAATTTTCGAGCTCTCCCCGTAGATTTTGCGGTGATGTAGTTTCCCCATGAGTGACTGAACACTGTGCCAATCATGGTGCAACTAGAGAACAATACCAACCCCTACACTCCCTATTTTTCGCTGGCAGCCCCACCACTACAGAATGCACTGAACTAGGCTGAAACGCCTGCATTTTGGAGCTGCTTTAATCAAGGAAGAAAAAAAGAGACCATGTTTGTATGCGGATTTGTAACTAAATTATCTATTTATTTATTTTTACATTGTTTGCAAACTGACATGTGGTTTGGTATTAATACCAAAATAACATGCAAAACAGACAACACATTTGTTTTTTCGCTAAACAGGAATGATGGGTCGCCACGGTATCTCTGTGCATTAAAATTGCCATCGATAAAATGCAATTGTGTTCGTTGTCCGTAGCTTATGCCTGCACGCCACCATGGGACACGCTGTTCACACCAGCAAACCGCTCGCCCACACAACGCCATCTGCCCGGTACAGTTGAAACCGGGATTAATCTGTGAACTGCAAACTTCTCCAGTGTGCCAGTGACCATTTGCCAACTGAAATCGGTTTTGCCCACGATGATTAATTTGCTCCCATTGGAAACGACAGGCTGTGGTCTATCTTGGGTTAGTTATAAAGACGAAGAAAAAATATTTGAAATGGTTTAGAAACTGTGATGGAGTGGAGTTTAGTCTGCTGCTTGACCAAACAACTAGCCACAAAATGCTCAAGTCAGCCTACGTCATCGAGTGTCGCTCTGGAAAATTCCAACCTTGCAACCCCTTCCGCTTGAAAACATTCCGCTATGTTCTTTCCACAGCAGTTAGAACGGTGAGGTGATTAGTAAATCTTTCCCAAATAGAGTGCGCCTTTGAGTGCACATTATGTGGTTTACAAACAAAGTTTATCTTCAATACACCGGAGTTGCATTAAAACAGACATTGTTTTGGATGAGTTTACTGTTTACTGCAAGCAACCCATACAAGCAGTATGGATATAATAGACCGTATAAAAACATATGGATCATACTAAACACGCGAGAAAATAAATATCGCGAGACCAGCATACATAACTTCTCCCCTACTTGTTATTAGCAGCATAAACAACCAGTGGTTACAGGCGGAGGTTATTCTCTCATTTAAAATTAGTTGGGATTTTGCTGTATTTTTTTTACTATGGAAATTCTAGAGCTCTTACCATCAAGCTTCGGATATGTCATATTTACATACTTTTATAGCTGGATCATGTTGAGTTATCTTGGTATTAAGGTTGGAGCTGCCAGAAAGAAATACGATGTGAAGGTAAGTACATAACGTTTCTGTCTGATGATGATTATGCGAAAATTAAATAACTGCGCTGCAATGCCAGATAAGTACATTTTAGCACTGTAATCCGTCTGGAACATAGCCTTCTTCTGTTCTAATCCGAGTTTATATAAAATAATTCCAATCCTGCTCAAATTGGGAGCTTCATTCAATGTCAGTCACTTCTTGTCTTGACCAGACTTGAGGTGCTGTGTACTTGGGACTCAAGCAAAACACATTGAAGTGAGCTTGACCTGCCCTATGTAGAAAAGTCTGTTATGCAAACACAAAAATGTGTGCATGAGAAATACAGGTCACCTGATGATGCAGACTGTTGTATATGTTAATGTCTTTGCCCTCTCCTCTTCCATTATGTCAAGTATTATGAATCTTGTCTCCAAGAACCTGGCCCTAATGCACCACAACTCCATCCTAACAATGATTATGCAGTTGTGGTAGACAGCTACTACTATCCCTATTGCTGGTACAGGGGCTCAAAGAAAATGAGTATTGCTATGCCACTTCTCACTGACGTTTTCTCTCCTCCACTGGGCAGTACCCTACCATGTACAGCGACAAGGAGCAGGTGTTCAACTGCATCCAGAGGGCCCACCAGAACACACTAGAGGTCTACCCACAGTGGCTTGTGTTCCAAACCATTGCAGCTCTTGTCTATCCAGTACGTATCTGCTTACACAAATCAACATTACCAGGTTACATCACTTACAATGCCACACACATTGGTTGGATTTAGTGTCAGTTGACATTTGAGTGGTTCTTTCACAACCACATTCAGAAACTAGTAGTCGACCATTTTAACATCCTCTAAATCCTCTCCCAAATGACTGCATGCTACTACCTAGTTGAACAGCATTATTTTGTCAACTCACACACAGTGCACTATTGACCTTATCACTGTGTAAATACTGATAGATAAACGCTTCTAAAGGAAGGTTTGTCACTAGTGTAATTTTCGGATAATAAGTAAGCCATGTGGGAGTGGCATGCCATGTTCTCTGGATGATCATTGACAGCATGTGCTGCACTTATCTGTCGTCTTTACACAACCAACGACAGCACATACCAAAAGGGGCCACTCCCCACTGGTGTTGTGACAATGATTCAGCATCTTCTCCATTTGACAGTTCACTGGCTGTTGCTCTCTGTCCTACTTCCCTCACTCTGTGTTTTCCCCTTTTTCCTGTTACCCAACCACACATCACTCCACCTCTAAGACTTCTGCAGCTGTGCTGGGAGCCATCTGGGTCACCAGCAGGTTCTCCTATGCCTGGGGTTACTACTCAGGAGGTAAGACCATATCTTGTAGTGACATTGCACATTACATTTACATTTTAGTAGACGCTCTTATCCAGAGCGACTTACAGGAGCAATTAGGGTTAAGTGCCTTGCTCAAGGGTACATCGACAGATTTTTCACCTAGTCAGTTCGGGGATTTGATTCAGCGACCTTTCGGTTACTGGCACAACGCTCTTAACCACTAAGCTACCTGCCACCCACATCATGACATCAACACATCTCTTATCTTTTTTTATTACTTTTGAGCCAGTTTCCATTCAATAATTCACAAACCGGGTCACAGGGCATGAGGGGAAAAAGGTTAAACTCCCAATGCACTCCTTGTAGATTATATATGCTTTTAGCAACTATTTAGTATTTCAACCATATCTGCATTTTATCATTATTCAACACAAGGGTATACCATTATGAAAATTAGTACTACAGCTGTATTTTATGAAAATGTAATGTGAAACATGCTGAAATATCCCCACATTCTGCTAAATGTTAGCAGGTAATGATTAGAATAATCACTCTTATTCTGCATTTTATAAACGGCTGTAAACTGTAAGAAGTCTCCCCCCCCAGATCCAGCCAAGAGGATGAAGGGTGCCTATGGATACATTGGGTATTTTGGAGTCATCATTCTTTCCATTGCAGTGGCTTTGCAATTGCTTGGAGTCTTGTGAACCAGCTGGTTCTGTCCCCTATTCGCCCTTTTTACTAAAGAAACGTATCTCTTACAGTGGCTTGTGCCTTTTTATTCAAACAGCCACTATGATATCATCTAGCTGAACAATATATTATTTTCAATTATGATAGTCTTTAATTGCTGTCATCTTACAAGTGTGTAAACAATTATAGGCCTATGTTTTACTGCAACACAATTTAGTTTTGTTAGGTGATACTGTGAGGAATATTGATTATGATTTGGCTTTTTTTATATGATTATCAGGCATTTGTTGTAACCTTTCATGCCCATGTACTGACAACGCTATGTTAATAAAGATGAATGTAAACATTGTCAGAAAAGTTATTTTTATCATATTGAAGCATGATATCAATTCCTATGCACTAGTCTTGATATATAATTTTCCAAAGGGTAGAGAAATATAGAAGGCAAGGAATATGACACCTGTGATCTCTCATGTGACTGTTTCATGCAAATTGGGAGAATTGCACCTCAAATTAGGTCATGAAACAATCTTCCAACCAATGGTCCCCTCCCTTAATATGCCAGCGAGATTCAGACAGTGGGTGAGTACAGTTGCTTAAACTGTAGTGGCCCACTGGCCCATAGTGATTATCTGTGACCCTTGACTTCACACAGCTCTATGAATTCTCTTTTTTAAATGTTTTTATAAAATAGTGCAATTGAAACACGTATTATTTAAGTAAGATATCTCATCAACTGAATTGATATTGAACAGTCTATGTCAGTGAGCAGGCCCAGTCCTGGCCATTCTGAAACACCCGAGGCAAGGCCAAAAAAGTGCAGTTTTATCATTTTTCTAGTTGAAAAACAAGACAAATTGGATATCAACTAGTTTTCTCGTTTATGGTTTCCAAATTGGGCATAAAGTAACAGAAAACAAATGACAACTAAATGTATCCAATTTTGTATTACTTTTTTTTCCTTTTGTTCATACCTGGAAGTACACGCCCCAAAATATAATATTCATAGCGCATAGCCGGTTGAGCTGCAGTACTGTCGGCAGCACAGAGAAAGGATTAGACATTTGTGTGACTGGAAGATAAAAATAGTAATTTTAGCTATGATGCATAACTTATCATGAAGTTAGCATGCCACTAGAACTAACTTGGCGAAGCGCAAGAAGTATGAATGCCCTGACTTCTGCAGAGGCCATATCACCCTAAATGCTGGACGGCCAATGCAGATGTCAGATTGACCATGCAGCCCCATTAAATTAGTCCCTCTACTAGTAGTAGCTAGCTAGTGGAAGTAAATTAGCATAAAAGGCGCTGCATAGTCAATCCTATGTCTGCAGTGGCCATACAGCATTTACTGTGATACGGCCTCCGCAGAAGTCAGAGCAACCATACTTTTTGCGCTTCATGGAGCAGAGCTGTAGTGAAGGAAGCTGTCAAGGAAGTGAGTTTGTGATTATACAGGACCTCCCACCCCCACCTACAGTGAACCAATCATGTCAATGTGGAGCTATACAGAGCCCTCTGCATTGTTACACAATTTGAGTGGCGCACGGCGATGTGCTATGGAAATTGATTTGGCCTCTGCATGCCTCTGGAGGCTCCGCCATTGCGTCACACCCTCCAAATGAAGCCTCCAACCACATTTTTGGATCAAGCATAATTTGGCTTTAAATGGGCTTTTCCGGCCTAACTGGTGTGGCGAGATTACTCGATCCGTTGGTATATGACGACATGAGTGTTTATTTCAAAGAGCGCTCTGTAAACCACGCCCCAGTGGGCATAGCTAGGCATGTTGCACTGGGACACGTTTTAATATGGTAAAAAGCCTCTCATTCTGTGTAGCCCTGTTATGCTAATATATTCGAGACCAGTGTATTGCAGTTAATTTTGTCTTTGACATAATAAGTAAAATATCTTTGAGTAGTAAACAGGGAAACCACGAGTCCCAGACAGTTTGCAATAGAACATACCAGAGGGGGGCATTGTTTACTACATCAATTACTGGGATCATCTGGTTATCACTAGTGTTTGGAATACATTGAACTGGTTGACAAAACATGGGATGCCTTTTCGCACTGAGATGTAAGGTCGGCGGTGGGTCTGTGTAAACTATTCGATCAATATGGAGACAGGTTTATAGCATATTTATTTACTGTTATAGTATTTCTAACTAGCAGCCATATAACAGCCAGGGAAACTAATTGTTCTCACTTTAGGATTTTCTTGTGATCACAACTAAAGTACTTATTTTGCTCAAATAGAGAGAATTATATTGTATTTTCTTTGAAAAGATGGGCCTGGTTCCGTGTGGCGCTGTTGACCGCAATTGTCTGGATTATCTTGTGACCAGAAAAAAACTACTTATTTTACTCAACTAGAGATTGAAATGAATGGTGTTTCTTTGAAAAGATGGGCCTGGCTGACATGAAAACTACATTAACTACATCTTTTTCCCCTCAAGTCACTCATTCCCAACACACCCAGAAACTTGAATACCAGTACTTACCATGACCTCTTTATGAAAAGCCATGTCACCAGTTTTTGTACTATCTCTAAAGTCATTATGGATATTGTCTGAGCGTGCTGGCCATTAATACTGGTATTGCTTTTTTCAATTTTTTCAATTAAGACACAATGAAGACACTGTTAGAGATGTAATGTATGCTTTTCATTGGTCTGTGTCTCTGTATTACAGCAAATTTAAGATTAGTGCAAACTGGAAGTGTGACTTCTTTCCCCAATGATTTCCTAAGGCTGAAGTATTTAGTCAGTTATCAGTTATTCCACAACAAGGCTAGATGGGGCTAAATCGCAACAACACCACACACAATAAAGAAAGTTTATTAAATAAAGTCATTGACAGGAAGTTATTTACTACATCAATTATAGTCAGCCTCTCCCCTTCGTTTGCTTAACTGGGGGAATGGAATGGAGAAATAGTTTACTATAGGCAGGGTGGGATTCGATGGGTGGAATGCATCCCAAAGGGCACCCTATTCCCTATAACTTTTCCCTATATAATGCTCTACTTTTGACCAGAGCCCTCTGGGCCTTGGTCAAAATTAGTGCACTACGTATAGGGAATAGGGTACCATTTGGGACACATTCCATCTGTTGATGAAGCCACCTGAAATCAATGGCTGCATATCAATTGTCCATCCCTCTCCTCATGGATATCCAAGCATTGGATAGGTGTACGCATTGGCTTGAGCTACTTTACACCATTGTTAAATAAAAAAAGAAGAAATGTGTAAATCCACACTTTGGGAGAAGGTCAATGGATATGCAGCCAATGTTAATGGTCACACAACTTTGAGTCATTAGTAAATATATATATATATATATATTCTATAAAAGGGCAAATAATTGACAAGTTGTTGCAGTAGTAGGTAAGACCATGGATGGAGAGTATGGGTTAATTATGGACTTTGAGAGAATTGCGGTAAACAGCGCCACACTCGGAATGTTATATTCTCAGCCAGCCCCATTTTTCAAAGAAAACACAATTTGATTATATCTCTATTTGTAATTCAAATTTATTCCAAACACAGGTGGTAACCAGATTATCCCAATAATTTAGGTAGTAAACGATGCCCCCCTCTGGTATTGTCTATTGCGATCTGTCTGCGACTCGTTGTTGTTTCCTTGTTTAGGCCTACTACTAAAAAAAAAGTACTTACTTATTAAGTCAAAGACGAAATGAACTGCAATACTACACAGAACAACGGCGGACACAGTAAAATGAGAGGCTTTTCATCATATTAAAATGTAAATGTGATATTAAAACGTGTCCCAGTGCAACGTGATAGCTCTGCCCATTGGGGCGTGGCTTACGGAGCGCTTTTTGAAGTAAGCGCTCGTATTGTCGTATCTCAACGGATCGAGTTATCTCACCACACTGGCCCTGCTGGTGAATACAATACACTGTGGCGCAGTACGGTGGTGCAGATCTACAAAAATGCGAAACTGATGCTGACATTGGCACCTCCAACATCAAAGAGGCGTGGAAAGTCAACTGAGCAGGCGTGTGGTTGAGCTCAGTCGGAAGCAAAGTAATAAACGGCGTCTGGGTGGGCCCATAACGAACATAAAACAATAAAAGGTAATTTATTAACGATGAATATTAGGTGACAGTATAATTTATAATGTTTGTTTGTTATTGCTGTTAAGATATTGTTGTATTTTGGGCTACTGGGTCTTGCGTTACGTCCAACACGAAGGATACTTAAAGGGAGGGCTGGTGCTCCCAATGCTTTGAACAATAGACTGCGAACAAGCTCACACATTGGTATGGCGCAGTATCGATTTATTTGAAACAATATTTAGCTATCGATTTATACACGTAAGTTATCATAATTAGTTTGATTCCTGAAAACTACATTTGTTCTGGTGGTTGTTGATTTGTGTTTGAGAGCTTATGCGCTTTAGAGCATCGTAACCTCTTTGTGTTTACGCAGCTTGACCTAACTTTAAACAATATGGATAGGTGTAAAAAGCTTTTATGGGCGCTAAATAGGTGAATCCTTAGCACTGAAAGCTCAGGTATACTGAGTCGGCACAGCAAATAGCAGGTGCTTGCCAACTAAACAATAGTTTCACAGTACTAAGCTGTTGGATTCTTTTTATAAATATAGCTAAATTGCTACCTCATCCATTTACGTGTTAATACACTACATGTCCCATGAAGCTACAATTCCGTATGCATGTAGTAGGTGCCTGGCACTTATGCCATCTCATGAACTAGTCTCTGGGCAACATTTTACCAGTAGTGGGTTTGATAAGTAAATGTATTAATTGTGCAGGCATTATACATGAACTGTAATTAGCTACCTAGCTGTAATAGTCAACTCCATCCCTGCCTGGGTACTCTAACCCAGCTCCTTTTCCCTTCACACCTCAGAACCATGTCAGGGTTTTTGGACAGCATCCGCTGCGGAGACTGCGAGTGCAATGTGGACTGGGGAGAGAGGCGAAACACCATTGCATCTATAGCTGCTGGAGTCCTGGTATGTTCTACTCTACTATCACATTTGACAACTTTACATCACTGTAAAGTGAGAAAGAAGGCGTATTCCTAAATCCTAATCCATATTCCTGCAGTTCTTCACTGGTTGGTGGATAATCATTGATGCAGCTGTGAACTATCCCGATGAGGCAACTTTCCATCACGCCTATCACACCTGTGGAGTCATCGCTACTGTGGCCTTTCTCATGTAAGTCACGCTGTTGTGAATGTGTCCACCAAGGTTGGGGTCAGTCCCATTTTGAATTCAGTCTGTTGAAATTCTCCTTGAAAATAAATTGAGCTTTTTAATATTTTGTCTTTGGTACTTATCTAGGATCAATGCTGTCTCGAATGGCCAGGTGAGAGGGGACAGCTACAGTGAAGGTTGCATTGGACAGACAGGTATGAGATAATGGAATAATCCTAACTGCATTCCTTCAAGTTAAGATTCAGCCCTAAATGCAAAATGATGTAGATAAGTTAAGCTCTGAGCTGCGGCGCTCGCTTTATGTGTATGGATTGTTTTGACCTTTGCAGTAACATGATTGACCTAATTCTGTGTTTAAATTATGTTTTCCCAAAATCCAGAAAATCCCAAGTGATTACATACGTTGAAACTAGTTCAGTGGAGTTTCCCTCTCTCTCTCTCTCCCTGTAGTGCTGTACTGAAACAGCTGCAAAAACGGGAGCCGTGACATTGCTGAATGCAGGCCTCGCTCTGTGGACAAGCTCTTTGTTTTATTGAAAGCGTACGGCCGAATGAGCTATTTTTGTCAAAAGTACTATCAGTTTTGAGTCAGGGAATGTGTACTTTTCCGACAACGTGGAAAAAGAGATGGCAGCAAGAGTAAAGCTGGTGTTCGGTGCTGGCTTTACATTATGCAGGAAATCAAGGGAAGAAGGCACCAAATTTCACGTTTTTCCGATAAAAGATACGGAGAGATGCAGAAGATGGTTAATAGCAATTAGAAATAGTAAATATGACGTAAATACTCCTGCAGCCCACTTTGCATCGCTGTGTGTGTAGCAAGCACTTCAGTGACGATGCATATGAACGAGATATGCAAACTGAAATGATGGGGACAGAAAACTGAAGGATACAGCTGTTGCTGTATTTCCATGGGCTGGATCTGGCGCAGTGCCAAAATACAAAGGCACGTTTGAGAAGAGAAAGCGACAAAGCAAGTGTGCCTAGCCTGATTCTTGACATTCGAGGTGTTCTAATTGTGTTATTAATTGCACCATATCATGTAGACAAACTTTTGTATATATAGTGTATGCGGACACCCCTTCAAATTAGTGGATTCGGCTATTTCAGCCACACCCGTTGCTGACAGGTTTATAAAATCGAGCACACACACAGCCATGCAATCTCCATAGACAAACATTGGCAGTAGAATGGCCTTACTGAAGAGCTAAGTGACATTCAACGTGGCACCGTCATAGGATGCCACCTTTCCAACAAGTCTGTTCGTCAAATTTCTGCCCTACTAGAGCTGCCCGGTCAACTGTAAATGCTGTTATTGTGAAGTGGAAACGTCTAGCAGCAACAACGGCTCAGCCGCGAAGTGGTAGGCCACACAAGCTCACAGAATGGGACTGTGTAGCACGTAAAAATCATCTGTCCTCAGTTGCAACACTCACTACAGAGTTCCAAACTGCCTCTGGAAGCAACATCAGCACAAGAACTGTTCATCAGGAGCTTCACGAAATGGGTTTCCATGGCCAAGCAGGCGCACACAAGCCTAAGATCACCATGCACAATGCCAAGCGTCGGCTGGAGTGGTGTAAAGCTCTCCGCCATTGGACTCTGGAGCAGTGGAAACGCGTTCTCTGGAGTGATGTTTCACGCTTCACCATCTGGCAGTCCGATGGACAAATCTGGGTTTGGCGGATGCCAGGAGAACGCTACCTGACCCAATGCATAGTGCCAACTGTAAAGTTTGGTGGAGGAGGAATAATGGTCTGGGGCTGTTTTTCATGGTTTGGGCTAGGCCCCTTACCTCCAGTGAAGGGAAATATTAACGCTACACCATACAATGACATTCTAGACGATTCTGTGCTTCCAACTTTGTGGCAACAGTTTAGGGAAGACCCTTTCCTGTTTCAGCATGACAATGCCCCCGTGCACAAAGCAAGGTCCATACAGAAATAGTTTTTTGAGATCGGTGTGGAAGAACTTGACTGGCCTGCACAGATCCCTGACCTCAACCCCATCGAACACCTTTGGGATGAATTGGAACGCTAACTGCGAGCCAGGCCTAATCGCCCAATATCAGTGCTTGACCTCACTAATGCTCTTGTGGCTGAATGGAAACAAGACCCCGCAGCAATGTTCCAACATCTAGTGGAAAGCCTTCACAGAAGAGTGGAGGCTGTTATAGCAGCAAAGGGGGGACCAACTCCATATTAATGGCCAGGATTTTGGAATGAGAAGTTCGATGAGCAGGTGTCCACATACTTTTGGTAATGTAGTGTAGGCTTAGGTGCACTACATGTTAGCATATGTGCCCTATGTATTTTTGACGGGGGGGGGGGGGGGGGGGGGGAGGGTTGAGAGACAATAGACATTGTGTCACCTTGCATTGCAGAATAGAATATCCCTAAAACATTGTGGTCCCGCTCATAGAGGTTTATGAAAAGTGATAATTCAATAAAGTAAAGTAGCTACTAACTCGTTAGATGACTGTCCATTTGGCCCAGCTGGAACAGGGGTGCGTCTCCAATTCGTTTTCGGAATATAAAAACAACTTTACAGGACACCGGAGTTTGTGGGTAGCAAAATATGTGTATGCGACCAATACAATTTCATTTGATTCTAAATCCCCTTGATTTCAAAAAGTAAATGAACTGCTCCTCATCATTATGTTCCTCCATTTCTGTAAGAATTGTAGTCACATAGTCAAATTGTCTGCAGTACAAACATTCCTCATTCGCGGCATTGGAGCGTAATTGCCACAACTGGACCACCAGTCTGTGTTGATCCTGGAGATGGGTTGACGCTGTGGTCCAGCTACTGCTATGCTTCGGTAGCTAGAGCAGCCGCGGTCATCAGAAGCTCAATTTGCCTTAATTCTTTGTCCGAATACTCAGGCTCAAATAAATACGGTTCAACAACACTGTCGGCACCCCTCCAGTAGTTTTCTTCGTCACTCGCTAATATTTCCTCATCAGACATACAGTATATTTGTAGGTTGTTGATTCCTTTTTTATAACTAATGTGTAACGCTGTCTTCTCTTCTCCACCGGAAAAAAAAAGTGCGTCTGTGAATAAGGGCATTACGTGCAGTTTCTACGTAGCTTGGATTTCCCAGAGAGCGCACATGCACAATTGTTACCCACCGCCGCTGCTGTGGCGGTCGGCTACATAAAATAATATAAGATATTCGCAAATGTTTTTTGTAGTACTTTGGACAAAAAGCTAATTCGGCCGTACTCTTTCAATAAAACAACCAATTAATCCACACTGGGCGGATTTCTGAATCATGAATTCACTGGCAACGGAGCAAAGCGAGGCCTGCATCCAGCAACGTCACGAGTCATATGACCCATTTTTGCAGCTCTTTTAGCACAGCACTAGGGAGAGAGGGCAAACTCTACTGAACTAGTTTAAATGTATGGAATCACTTGGGATTTTCTGGATTTTGGATAAACTTCTCCTTTAATTGGATTTTGGGGGCCCAGAAGCTGGTTGACTTCTGTTGTGACTTTTTGCTCTTACAATACACACACACACACCCACATACAGTTGAAATAAAAGATAGAGCTTCAGACCCTAATGAATCCCTTCCACCTCGTTGTATCACTGATTGCAGGAGCTCGTGTGTGGCTCTTCATTGGCTTCATGCTGGCGTTCGGCTCGCTCATCGCTTCTATGTGGATCTTGTTTGGAGGCTTCGTAGTGCCCAGTAAGTCCAGCATTCCCACTCAGCATGTGATTATTATGTACCCCAAACTAATAGCTCATCGACATTGAGCGGTCACTGTGCAAAACATGGTAAAGAATGATAGTAAAGGTAATTTTTTTCGGTTCTCAGAGAAACCTGTTGTGTATCCTGGTATTGCGGTTTTCTTTCAAAATGCATTCATTTTCTTTGGGTAAGTATTCTTCAACTTTTCTTCATGTTTTACCTTAATTAAATGTTGTTTTCTGTTAAGTTATATGTACTATAGGTATTCCCTTGGAATGTATTTCTGGCCTAGTAGTGCATACGTCACTTAAATGTATTATAGTCTAAAATGAACTATAATACCTTCAACTGTAACTACATTACAATACATTGTCTAAAATGAACTATAATACCTTCAACTGTAACTACATTACAATACATTGTCTAAAATGAACTATAATACCTTCAACTGTAATACATTACAATACATTGTCTATGCTAGTTATTTTCTCTAAATAGACACCCACTCTTTCCTTGCAGGGGCTTGGTGTTTAAATTTGGACGCACTGAAGACTTGTGGCAATAATGGTTTCTCCTTGTTTCTGTCCACTGTCATACTATCTGTTCTCTTTTTCTATGAGTCAATGTATGCTTTGGTCAATCAAAACACCTACTTTCCGTCTTTCAAGCGATACAAAAGATTCACTTTATATGATAACCTTTTTTAGCTTTTAGATTAACATATGTATGTTTAATTTATGAGTAGGTTGGTTGTTGTACAAATGCACACAAAACAATTACAATATAAAAAGCACAATTTGCAATTCATCATATCTTAATGGAATGTTTTCTTTTCACTCAAAGTATGGAGCCATTCTGTTACAATTTACCATCTTACATTATTTATAATGGAAACCTTCAAAAACAGACTATTTACAATACCATTTATGCACTCTAATGATGCATAAAAAAATATTTTGCTCCATTTGTGGAAAATGTCATTAAGGTACAAACATCTGAGGGGGAAAAGACAGATTATATATATATATATATATATATATATATATATATATATATATATATATATATATATATGGGAGTGTTAATCTTGTAAGTAGACTTACTTACTGTACATTTACTGATAAGAATTTAACCTTGACTGTGGGCAAAAAAAAAGTTGTACAATAATGTGGGGTCTATAATTGAGTAGTTATACTGAACCATAATTTGAAGGTTCGTAAATCAAGCTGTAGTTTTAGTGTGGTTTGATTCCTCAAGGTTTCAATGTTTTGGCACCCATCTCTGTTCTTTGACTATGTATTTGACTGTAATGCTTATGCATTTTACAGTACTTGTATAATAACCTAACCATGAGGTCACTTTTCTGATCCTGAACAACCATGGCAGCATTAAACAGAAAATGTACAACACGCGTGAGATGACGAGTCATTATTCACATCTCTCACAGGCCAGTTTCTCTGTTCTCTTGGCTAATGTTTGACTAACACAAAGCAATCACAATCGCATATTACAGTGCAGTTTTCACATACTAAACATTTGAAAAATTAAATAAGTTGAAGATGCATTGTAATATTGTATGGTTGAATTGTGCATTGCTCTCCTGACACAATACTTGTTTATTTTTCTCTTCCAACCTCTCACTGTTTCACCACTAGGTGGGGAAACTGAAAAACAATGATTTTAGTTAAAACAGCATAACTTCAGAGGCACAAATGTATTGCTTCAACTGCATGCATTTCTTTTTTTAACCTATCAATCGTTGGATACAAACTGAGCATTTCTGTCATCACTGATTACTTACCTCCCAGTAGGCCTGGTCATCAAAGCATTTCTTTTTCTGGGGTGGCCTCCAGAAATTACATTTCAGAAGGAAACCTGAGCAGGAAGGAACAGGTTTGTGGTTAAAACTCCAATCCTCCAGTGAGTCCAATAACATATGTACAGTACTGTAGAAAGTCACCTGTGATGAGTCCCAGAATCATGCTCAGACTCAGGGTGATGAGGAGCGTGCAAATGTGGAACACAGCAAATCGGACGGCCCTGAAAAGATGCATAACCTCATTCAAAGGACACCCCATAAATGTGTATATGTTCTTATGTATTCACAAATTCACCTTCAATTATTTGTATAAGTAGAGTGATTGTTATAATGTAATGCCCTATCAAATGCGGAGATCATTTTTGAAACGTGTCCCCAATGCTCTTCCATTCTCTTAAGATCCTGTAAACATAAGATGCTTTTAATGCCGCCTACGTTGTGAGATCATCAGAGTCGGCAATCTGTAGGAGAAGTTGAACCATCCACCCCAGGATACCAGGCAGACCATGGACACTAAGGACTCCGCAGGTGTCATGGCACTCAAACGCAAACAGCATGAGGGGCTGAAAGACACAAAGCAGTAATATGAGATAAGGAAAGCCCATGGGCAATTCATGAATTTGTTTATACGTACCTTAATGTATCGGGATCCCAAGGTTGATATCAGTGCAGCAGCAAATCCAACCGCCATAGCTACCCACGGCAAATTAACGGCTGACATAGCAACTCCAATAGCAACACCACCAGCAAGAGTACATCTCTGAATATGAAACTGAGAGGAGAGAACATTTCCACAAACAATTATTTTGGTGGATTGGATAGGGCAACTGTCCCTCAAGATAACAAAATATGTGAAATTCTTAAATTGTTTTTTCCATTCTACTTGATCAATATCCCACTTTAATGGCTACTGCTGCCCTTTAACTTCCCACCTACAGGTGACCCTGGCCATTCAAACATGTTTTCAGGTCATTACCAGGTTGAGTTTCCCTTGGGGACTGGTGAGGACAGAGAAACCAGTAGCTGTGACGGCACTGACTGCTAGGGCCAGGTAGGTGCTGTAGACAGCTCTCAGGTTCCTCCCACTGTCAGGATGATCCACCTCTACCAGCACAGAGTTAAAACTGGGCCAGAACATCCACAGGAACAGAGTCCCTGGAGAGGAAGAGACGCACATACCAACCAGAAGTCAACACTCTCATTATTGAAAACAGCCCTGTCAAACAACAATACATTATTAGTGAAGCATTAGCATTTCCATTTACCCATTACAGAGAACAGACCGGTCTTGCGGTCAATTTTCTCTTTCTCATGCTGTTGCTCGGATCCCGGTTGGTACAGGACCCATGACAACATCAGTCCAAAGAAGGTCCCAAAAATGTGGAGCAGCATGATGGTATTCAGAAACTGCACCTGTGTGTAAACAGACGAGCCAATCATCAGTATACAGTCTAAAAACACATCATCATCATGATCATCACTTTATTGGCTTACCTTTAGGAATGTCTGGAGTAGCCAGCCATTCAGCACAAACCCTGAGACCTCCAGCAGGGCAATAAGAAGGAGATGGACAGGATTGGTCTTCCCAAGGATAGCACCTATGGCAATGAGGGAGGAAGCTGTGCACATCTCTGCAACAACCAAGCTGGTCCAAACACAGGAAAAGGGGCTCAATATTTATGATATACAGTGAGGGAAAAAAGTATTTGATCCCCTGCTAATTTTGTACGTTTGCCCACTGACAAAGAAATGATCAGTCTATAATTTTAATGGTAGGTTTATTTGAACAGGGAGAGACAGAATAACAACAACAAAAATCAAGAAAAACGCTTGTCAAAAATGTTATAAATTGATTTGCATTTTAATGAGGGAAATAAGTATTTGACCCCCTCTCAATCAGAAAGATTTCTGGCTCCCAGGTGTCTTTTATACAGGTAACGAGCTGAGATTAGGAGCACACTCGTAAAGTGAGTGCTCCTAATCTCAGTTTGTTACCTGTATAAAAGACACCTGTCCACAGAAGCAATCAATCAATCAGATTCCAAACTCTCCACAATGGCCAAGACCAAAGAGCTCTCCAAGGATGTCAGGGACAAGATTGTAGACATACACAAGGCTGGAATGGGCTACAAGACCATCGCCAAGCAGCTTGGTGAGAAGGTGACAACAGTTGGTGCGATTATTCGCAAATGGAAGAAACACAAAAGAACTGTCAATCTCCCTCGGCCTGGGGCTCCATGCAAGATCTCACCTCGTGGAGTTGCAATGATCATGAGAACGGTGAGGAATCAGCCCAGAACTACACGGGAAGATCTTGTCAATGATCTCAAGGCAGCTGGGACCATAGTCACCAAGAAAACAATTGGTAACACACTACGCTGTGAAGGACTGAAATCCTGCAGCGCCTGCAAGGTCCCCCTGCTCAAGAAAGCACATATACATGCCTGTCTGAAGTTTGCCAATGAACATCTGAATGATTCAGAGGAGAACTGGGTGAAAGTGTTGTGGTCAGATGAGACCAAAATGGAGCTCTTTGGCATCAACTCAACTCGCCGTGTTTGGAGGAGGAGGAATGTTGCCTATGACCCCAAGAACACCATCCCCACCGTCAAATATGGAGGTGGAAACATTATGCTTTGGGGCTGTTTTTCTGCTAAGGGGACAGGACATTTTCACTGCATCAAAGGGACGATGGACGGGGCCATGTACCGTCAAATCTTGGGTGAGAACCTCCTTCCCTCAGCCAGGGCATTGAAAATGGGTCGTGGATGGGTATTCCAGCATGACAATGACCCAAAACACACGGCCAAGGCAACAAAGGAGTGGCTCAAGAAGAAGCACATTAAGGTCCTGGAGTGGCCTAGCCAGTCTCCAGACCTTAATCCCATAGAAAATCTGTGGAGGGAGCTGAAGGTTCGAGTTGCCAAACGTCAGCCTCGAAACCTTAATGACTTGGAGAAGATCTGCAAAGAGGAGTGGGACAAAATCCCTCCTGAGATGTGTGCAAACCTGGTGGCCAACTACAAGAAACGTCTGACCTCTGTGATTGCCAAAAAGGGTTTTGCCACCAAGTACTAAGTCATGTTTTGCAGAGGGGTCAAATACTTATTTCCCTCATTAAAATGCAAATCAATTTATAACATTTTTTACATGCGTTTTTCTGGATTTTGTTGTTGTTATTCTGTCTCTCACTGTTCAAATAAACCTACCATTCAAATTATAGACTGATAATTTATTTGTCAGTGGGCAAATGTACACAATCAGCAGGGGATCAAATACATTTTTCCCTCACTGTATGCTTCCAACAGAAAAACATGAATATAAACATTAACTATAATCCAATTGGCAGGTAAAAAAAATCAGGGATCTATCATTTTGTAATGTTTTCAAATCTCCCATGAAATCTGAAGTTTAGATCTAATTACATTATGCCTCAATGCTGAATGAATAATAAAGATAGGCACCATCTAAAATAATGAAATAAGATGATGCCTATCCCATACACCTCAACTTTGATTTATTTCCCAATACCTTCTCATATTTATCCAGATCTTTCCTCTGTGATACAAAGACTCAACGCCGTTCAGGATAACTGCCCACTGGACAGCCATGGCTGCCACTAGGAGGGTAAATCCTGCACCACTGAAGCTGTACCGCACCAGGAATGTGGCCAGAAAGCCAAAACCCAGAATCACCATCACATGAACATCCTGGAATTCTGTGAGGAAAGAGGGGACACCTAATATGTCACAGAAGGGAAATTAATTGTATCACTAATCTTGTGAGCCTGGGAGCCTATAGCCTGCCCAAAACGCCCTTATTGCCTTCTAAGGGAATAAATAGAGTTGAATTGTTTTGTGTTGCCCCATACAAAGACTGTGTATCTCCTGAGTGGCGCAGTGGTCTAAGGCAGTGCTAGCTGTGCCACTAGAGATCCTGGTTCGAATCCAGGCTCTGTCATAGCTGGCCGTGACCCATGGGGCGGCGCACAATTGGTCCAGGGTAGGGGAGGGAATGGCCTGCAGGGATGTAGCTCAGTTAGAGCATGGTGTTTGCAACGCCAGGGTTGTGGGTTTCGATTCCCACAGGGGGCCAGTATGAAAAAAATTAAAAATAATGTATGCACTAACTGTAAGTCGCTCTGGATAAGAGCATCTGCTAAATGACTAAAATGTGTATCACTGAAACTGTGCACAATGCAGCTAGCCATTATGTGGGAAAGCTTTGGGAGGCGTTAACAAGCCCAGCTGCAACTCTTGCTGGCCAAACCAGATTAAGCACTTATCAATCATAACCAGTGTTGGCAGCCCCTCCCATTTCTCTCTCTCTCTCTCTCTCTCTCTCCTCTCTCCTCTCTCCTCTCTCTCTCTCTCTCTCTCCTCTCTCTCTCTCTCTCTCTCTCTCTCTCTCTCAACAAACACTGTAGGATATAGCCTCAAAACATTGTTTTTTTTTATCTCTTGGATGGTCAGTCCTTGCATCCATAGCTCTGTCTATGAATTTGAGAGTGGTTACATTTCTCCAGCCCCATCACTCAGCTGTTTACCAAAACAGTAGTGGGGAGATGGCTTTGTTGTTATTTGAAATGCAGATTGCATTTAACACATACTCCCAAAGCATGCTTTAGTAAGACACTTTTTTTGTCTCATAATAACAATAATAATAATTATCTTGAAGTCTACCACTGTACAACACCTTTCCAAAATAGCACATTAGAATTGTTTTTCAACTCACCTGAGTAATAGTTGGTGAATGCATGTTGTTTAGTTTCTACATTTTGTTCAATTTCAACATAAAAAATAAATACTACGATGAATCCCGTCTGCAGGAAAAAAAGCAGAGGCGGCAGACGAGAGCGGAGACTCGGTGCATATTGGGGAGCCATCGGCGCTTCTAACCAAAAATGACCTAATGGTGCCAAAACAGAATTGTCTGTGCGCAACCCCTTCTACGCGAAACCGGAATGTCCCGTTGGGCGAAGAAGAGCAGCTACTTTACCATCTGTGTTATCTGTTTATGTTTACAAGTCAAAATGTCGACGCTGTTGCAGGTGTTTGGGCCATCCCTATTTGGTATCGATTTTCATGTAGAGTAGATAGACGTTACACATTGGGTCGGTTTTGAAGACATGGTGTTTTCATTTTAGATAAATAATCTCAGTTTACTTTAAACCGCATTTGAAAGTGAAAATATATGCTAGTCCCAGTAGAAAATAGTCTGGAGGTGCCTAATGTAGCCTACTCTTATCAAAAACTGTTCGTATTTATAAACCCTATGTAATGCGGCTTTTGTCCTAAATAGGGAGCTAGATACTCAACATAGACAACATTTTTAGCACCCATAGCATGTGTATTGGCCTTTGACTCAGATATTAACGCAACAATAATTTTGATCTGGATTAAATTTTTTGAAAACCTGTATCCTGGTTGTGCAAATTGTTCCAGTGTGTGTGGTTGCGTCTGAATAATATATAATTTATCCTGAAGTGTGCACTCATTTAATACTCCCCACAAATCTAAAAGTATAGACCCCTTTCAAGTACACGACATGCCTCCATCACCATCTGCGCCCATTCAACATTTACAATATTACTTCCAAACAAAATAACTTTTTTGGGGTTCTCATATGCTTACAATTATGTTTTGATTCTTGCTTGAACAGCCGCTAAGATTATATTTGGTTGAATGCTAACGCTCATTGATATAGGCTGTAGCAAAAGCTAGCCGAAGAGCCATTTTACTGCTTGAAGTTTAAGTGTTTTAGTATAATGCAGTTGATTTGCGATGATGACACAAACATTATATTAAGCAGGACATTCATACTAGCCTTAAAAACCAATTATAATCCAAAAGTAGTGTGAAATGCACTCATAAGCAACATGTAAATAGAGGCTTTTTTATACTGAACCAAAATATAAGCGCAACATGCAACAATTTCAACGATTTTACAGTGCTACAGTTAATATAAGGAAATCAGTCAATTGAAATAAATAAATTAGGCCCTAATCTATGGATTTCACATAACTGGGCAGGGGCGCAGCCATGGGTGGGCCTGGGAGGGCAGAAGCCCACTCACTTGGGAGTCAGGCCCATCCACTGGGGAGCCAGGCCCAGCCAATCAGTATGAGTTTTTCCCCACAAAGGGGGTTTATTACAGAAATAGTCCTCAGTTTCATCAGCTGTCCGGATGGCTGGTCTCAGATGATCCCGCAGGTGAAGAAGCCGGATGTGGAGGTCCTGGGCTGGCTTGGTTACACAAGGTCTGCGGTTGTGAGGCCGGTTGGACGTACTGCCATATTCTCTAAAATGACGGAGGCGGCTTATGGTAGAGAAATGAACATTACATTCTCTGGCAACAGCTCTAGTGGACATTCCTTCAGTCAGCATGCCAATTGCACGCTCCCTCAAAACTTGAGACATCTGTGGCATTGTGTTGTGTGACAAAACTGCACATTTTAGAGTGGCCTTTTATTGTCCCCCAGCACAAGGTGCACCTGTGTAATAATCATGCTGTTTAATCAGCTTCTTGGAATGCCACACCTGTCAGGTGGATGGATTATCTTGGCAAAGGAGAAATGCTCACTAACAGGGATGTAACAAAATTTGTGCACACAATTTGAGAGAACTAAGCTTTTGGTGTGTATGGACAATTTCTGGGATCTTTTATTTCCGCTCATGAAACATGGGACCAACACTTTACATGTTGCGTTTATATTTTTGTTCAGTATAGCTGGCATTCTAAAAGGACTCCCCCTTGTTCTGCCACCAAGTTGCGCACATCGCCCTCCTGTGGCAATGTTTGCAAACACAGAAAGGGGTCTATTGGAACGATGGAGGTTTCTGCCATAATTCTTATAGCCTAACAATAATTTCCTTCGGAGGAAAGAGAATTTGAGTATGCGTGTGTTTTAGTTACTCAACAACCATCATTGAGTACATTGGATATGCAATGTATTGTCCAGTGTGATAGCCCCCTACACACTGTTAAGTAGAGCAGATATCCATCTGTCAGCTGAGCGCGTCTCACTTTTTTTTAGGACATATGCCTACACAATTGCACATGACAAAGAAATAATTTGAATTTAATAATGTTATTTAATCATGGTCTACATTACATTCTAATCTAATACATAAACTATGCAAATAGCCTATACATTCGGATGTCTTTGATAGCAAGAGCATTGGACAAAGTGCACTGCACCATGAGACCAATTCCAATTGTTAGAATCATTATCTTTCATTGGATTACCATTTACAGAGTGCATGGCACATTAAATATAATTTGATCAACTGTAGGCCTACACAAATCATAGCCAACAAGTTTGCCTGTGTCTGTCACACTGAGGTATAAAGAACGAACTGTCATTCAGCGTGATGGTACCAGTGTTCCACCATAGAAAGAAAGCCCGCCCCAGGGCTAATATAGGTCAATCAGCAATGTCTGATTTCTCCACAAAGAATATAATTGGTCGAATGGCGAGACTCAGGCCTCATGTCCACCAGATGCGTCCCTCTGCGTTCCAGTGAAAGCCATTAATTGTCAATGGAGCAGTCCTCAACGCTGAGTCGGGAATGCCGCACTAGGTTGCGGTGTGTTCTGTGTGTACCGCATGCGTTCAATATTTTCAACTTGTGCATTGCTTTACAGTGCGGTTGTACAAACAGCAGTTTATAAACAGTCAAGCCAGTTGGCTAGCTATCTAACTACAAACTAACCCTTGACTTTTTCCACATTTTGTTACTTTACAGCTTTATTCTAAAATGGATTTAAAAAATAATAATTCTCAGCAATCTACACACAATGCCCCATAATGACAAAGCGAAAACAGGCTTTTAGAAATTTTAGCAAATGTATTAATAATAAAAACCAGAAATAACTTATTTACATAAATATTCAGACCCTTTGCTATGAGATTCGAAATTGAGCTCAGGTGCATCCTGTTTCCATTGATCATCCTTGAGATGTTTCTATAACTTGATTGGAGTCCACCTGTTGTAAATTCAATTGATTGGACATGATTTGGAAAGGCACGCACCAGTCTATATAACGTCCCACAGTTGAAAGTTCCCTGCTGTGTTCGACCAAAGCGCCGATTGCTAACGGGACCTCCATGCTAAAAATGCTTCAAGGAGACACACTGCCAATACCATTGCATTACCTTGTCAGTTGAATGTGAAATAATTAGCTGGAAAGTGGAAGCTAGGTGCTGGCAATTTCTTAGGTAAGCTACAGTGCATTCAGAAAGTATTCAGACCCCTTGACCTTTTCCAAATTTTTCTAAAATTGATTAAATCGTTTTTTCCCCTCATCAATCTACACACAATACCCCATAATGAAAAAGCAAAAACAGGTTTTTAGATTTTTTTGCACATGTATTAAAAACAAAAAACTGAAATATCACACTTACATACAGTACCAGTCAAAAGTTTGGACACACCTACTCATTCAAGGGTTTTTCTTTATTTTTACTATTTTTTACATTGTAGAATAATAATGTGGTCCTCTGTAGCTCAATTGGTAGAGCATGGCGCTTGTAACGCCAGGGTAGTGGGTTCGATCCCCGGGACCACCCATACGTAAAAATTTATGCACACATGACTGTAAGTCACTTTGGATAAAAGCGTCTGCTAAATGGCATATTATATTATATTATTATATTATAATAGTGAAGACATCACAACTATGAAATAACACATATGGAATCATGTAGCAACCCAAAAAGTGTTAAACAAATCTAAGTACATTTTATATTTGAGATTCTTCAAAGAGCCACCCTTTGCCTTGATGACAGCTTTGCACACTCTTGGCATTCTCTCAACCAGCTTCATGAGGTAGTCACCTGGAATTAATTTCAATTAACAGGTGTGCCATCTTAAAAGTTCATTTGTGGAATTTCTTTCCTTCTTAATGCGTTTGAGCCAATCAGTTGTGTTGTGACAAGGTAGCCCTATTTGGTAAAAGACCAAGTCCATATTATGGCAAGTACAGCTCAAATAAGCAAAGAGAAATGACAGTCCATCATTACTTTAAGACATGAAGGTCAGTCAATACGGAACATTTCAAGAACTTTGACAGTTTCTTCAAATGCAGACACAAAAAACATCAAGCGCTATGATGAAACTGGCTCTCATGAGGACCACCAAAGGAATGGAAGACCCAGAGTTACCTCTGCTGCAGAGGATACATTCATTAGAGTTACCAGCCTCAGAAATTGCAGCCAAAATAAATGCTTCACAGAGTTCAAGTCACAGACACATTTCAAAATCAACTGTTCAGAGGGGACTGTGTGAATCAGGCCTTCATGGTCGAATTGCTGCAAAGAAACCACTACTAAAGGACACCAATAAGAAGAAGAGACCTGCTCGGGCCAAGAAAAACGAGCAATGGGCATTAGACCGGTGGAAATGTGTCCTTTGGTCTGGAGTCCAAATTGGAGTTTTTTGGTTCCAACCGCCGTGTCTTTGTGAGAGGTGGTGTGGGTGAACGGATGATCTCCACATGTGTAGTTCCCACCGTTAAGCATGGAGGAGGAGGTGTTATGGTGTGGGGGTGCTTTGCTGGTGACACTGTCTGTGATTTATTTAGAATTCAAGGCACACTTAACCAGCATGGCTACCACAGCATTCTGCAGTGATACACCATCCCATCTGGTTTGGGCTTAGTGGGACTATAATTTGTGTTTCAACAGGACAATGACCCAACACACCTCAAGGCTTTGTAAGGGCTATTTTACCAAGAAGGAGAGTGATGGAGTGCTGCATCAGATGACCTGGCCTCCACAATCCCCCGACCTCAACCCAGTTGAGATGGTTTGGGATGAGTCGGACGGCAGAGTGAAGGAAAAGCAGCCAACAAGTGCTAAGCATATGTGGGAACTCCTTCAAGACTGTTGGAAAAGCATTCCAGGTGAAGCTGGTTGAGAGAAGGTCAAGATAGTGCAAAGCTGTCTTCA